CAGGTCCCTTTCTTCCTGGCTGCTCTCCAGCCACTCTGCCCCCAGCCTGTAGCGCTGCAGGGGGTTGTTGTGTCCCAAGTGCAGGACCCAGCACTTGGCCTTGTTGAACCTCAGCCCATTGCCCTCAGCCCATCGATCCAGCCTGTCCAGATCCCTCTGCAGAGCCTTCCTGCTCTCCAGATTTAGCCCCAACACTGAGCCCTGGGGAACATCACTGGTGACCAGCCAGATTTAACACCACTCACCAGAACTCTCTGGGTTCAGCCATCCAGCCAGTTTTTTACCCAGTGAGCAGTAAAGCATTATAAACACTGTGGCAAAATAATTCTGAATCCACCACCATCAGCATTGTGGCTAATGCATTGTCCACTGTTGCTTAGGTTGAATTGGGAAGTGTCCTACAATGCCATCCTATTTGATGGATGTTTTTAGAAATGTACCTTTGATTGCTACTGAGCTGCCTACTCAGTTGCTGTAATCTTGCAAATTCCGTTGAAATAAAGAAAAAGGCATTGATTCTGTGCTTTGCAAGTCAAAGATAAAATCATACAAGACATTCCAGAAAATGGAGGCGGAGGGTGGGGGGTTTCACTGGAAAAAGCTACTGGAAACAATTAATTTGTATTACTCTTATCTTGTTCTACCCTCACATTTTGTGGCCTTCTTGGTTCAGGTTTGGCAGACATTAGAGATGAAATACTTTAACAGTCTAGAGATACAGTGTTCTTTCACAGCACTCTAGTCCATTACAGCCAGGCAACTAATCCATGGCATGCTCTGGCTTTAAACAGCCATCCATGACAGCTTGGTGGAAAAAAAAGAATATCTGAATTTTTTTTTATTTTTTTTCTTAAAGCTGTACTTGCTCAGAGTTTTCAGTTTCAAAGCACAAAACAAGCAGATAATCTGTCAACTAATTCAGATTTATTTTTTTTTCCCCAGACAGGAGTTAAAACAATTAACATGGAGCAACTAAAAAAACTTAACAAGATTCCACAGAAGTCGAAAGGAGATGAGACCTTCTGTAACTAGGGGAGTAGATAGCTGTTAAAGCAATATCTCAGAACATTATAAAAAACTAGGTGTGGTGATAACTAAAATTGCCAATGAAAAAAAATATCCCTTAAATTGTATATATTGGCCTGTGGCTGCTGATAATTCTTCACACTAAAGAGCAAGGCTTTCAAGCTGATAGATTCAATGTACTGCAGGCTGGCAGTCTCAGCACCACAAAAAATACATAGCACATCGACCAATGAGTTTCAGGAAAAACACAGATCATAAAATATGCATATGGTGATTAAGCTAGTTATTAAATGGAATCTGTTTTAGCAGTTTTACAAAATAGTTTTCCATCAATTTTTCCCATTGCTGTGACCAGAATCACATCAGAGCAGTCACTCTACAGCTCTGTGCTCCTGTCTTCAGCACTTACTAGAGCAAATATGTGTGACCACAATTTCGTGTGCTTGGAAAAAAGGTGTGTACAGAGATTTAATGCACAGGCTATGGCACCGAATCCCAAATGGCATCTCTGACCACCTCAAACATATTATTTCTCTTTTTAGAAATATGTAAAAATCTGTTTCTTCTTCTTCTTTAAATATGGAAAAATATTCAAAGGTGTCTTCTTGATCAAAACCTAAACAATGTAAATTCCAATAATAGTAAGCCCTCTCTTTATTAATTTTTATCATCCTATAGTTAAGAAAAATTAAATGTTCCTAAAGTGAAGAGTCAGAATTTTGGCTTATAGCTTTTCACAGAATTTTTGCAAATTATTTTTCAAAACTTTTTTTTCACAGAACTCTTTGACAGAGTGATGGTACCATAACAGAAGAGGTAAACTCTAACTATTAGAACAGATTATCATCATCATTTCACATTTGCAATAGAAAGTTTCAATAAAAGGAGAAAGAATTCCATTGCAATGTAAGAACATAGATTTATCTAAAATATCATCTAATAAAATGAGGGCAATCCTTTGTTTAATGAATTCCTGAAATCAATAAGAAACATTCAAATCTTGAAATCGTGTTGTAATTCCACTCCATTCTTAAAGGCTTTTCTATACAAAGAACTTGACTAGAACAGCTATTACAAAATAAGAGAACTATTCTTGACCAGCGTTTTGTGTGCAGATGTTAATCATAGATTGTTTTTATTATTCTAAAAAGGAGTCTCTATGGAAAGTTCTATGGAAAGTTCTCCAAGAATAACTGCTAAACTGAGCATCTCAAACAAATTCTTCCATGTGGGCCTCTATGTGCTCTTTAATGAAAATATTTTTGCTACACTCAACTTTAAAAGATTAAAAATATGGAGAGCAGTCTTGTGCTCTTCTAACAAGGTACTTAACAGTACTTTTAAGAATCTCATTGTTCAGCAATCTACATACAGAAAAAGTGTATATATTAAATGAACTGTATGCATTACAACCACTTTTCCAGTAATTCTGTGAATGCATTCAGAATACTGACATTTAATTGCTGGTGTTTCCTGCAGTTGTATCAAGCAAGCAGAGAAACCATGATCTAGATATTGAAATAAAAGAGGAGAATGGAAATCAAATATGAACTGTACTACAAAAAGTCAGAGAAATGTGAGGGAGACAATCCTTTGCACCAGGCATTTGCTTTGCTTGCAAGACAAACGAAACAGTGAAAAGAGAAAAGGAACTTTACTCTGACCTCATGCTTACATAAACCCTGTGGATTTAAGTGAATTTACTGTGGTATAAGAATCATCTTTACAAAATACAAATTAAAGCTTATATGTAAATCTATGTGTTTGGCCAATTAGAACTGAATGTTTACTGTGGTGGAAAGGTTATGGTACAGGTCTAAACTTCATCCCATCATCTAATGGGATACCTTCTTCCAATTAATCTCGTCATTCCCCTTCATTGATTCGTTGCCATTACATAGAATGATAGAATGGTCTGGCTGGAAGGGACCTTAAAAACCATCTTGTTCCAGCCTCCCCTGCCATGGGCAGGGACACCTTCCACTAGACCAGGTTGCTCCAAGCCCCATCCAGCCTGGCCTTGAACACTTCCAGGGATGGGGCAGCCACAGCCTCTCTGGGCAACCTTTGCCAGTGTCTCACCACCCTCACAGTAAAGAATTTCTTCCAAATATCTAATCTAAACCTACTTTCAGTTTGAACCCACTACCCCTCGTCCTGTCCCTACAGTTCCTGAAGAAGAGTCCCTCTGTGACTCCCTGCAGATACTGGAAGGTGCTCTGAGGTCTTCACACAACCTTTTCCTCTCCAGGCTGAACAGCCCCAACTCTCTCAGCCTGACTTCATAGCAGAGGTGCTCCATCCCTCTGATCCTCCTCATGCCCTCCTCTGGACTCACTCCAACAGGTCCATGTCCTTCCTGTGCTGGGGACCCCAGAGCTGGAGGCAGCACTGCAGGTGGGGTCTCACCAGAGCAGAGCAGAGGGGCAGAATCCCCTCCCTCCCCTGCTGCCCACACTGCTTTGGGTGCAGCCCAGGACACAGTTGGCTTTCCGAGCTGCCAGCGCAAATGGCCGGGGCATATTAAGTTGTTCATCAACATCAGCTTTAGCAGCCATCCTCTGACCTATTCTTTAGCTTAATTCCATACTGCCATTTCTTAACATTCACCACCTCTATATTTTTCCCACCAGTCTGCTCTCATATATTTAAATGTTATATCAAGACAGTATTTCTATCACTATCTGACTTCAAATAGTAAAGTAGTCCTACTGAAATCTTTGAATCATTGTCTGTGCTCAAAGTTATGATGTGCTGGGACACACAAAATAAAGAACTTTTCTGTTTTCAATAGGACAGTTTTGATTTTATTAAATGTGTGTCATTGCACTGGTAATATATACTGGACACACACATATACATATATATATATATATATACTTATATGTTTATATTTGCAGATTTTTTTCAGAAATATTACTTGTGTGCCACATACATTTTTTCCACCTGAAAAATAAGCTAAGAAGATTTTGACACAAAGAGCATCACGGCATCCTACTTCCTTGGTCTCCATTAAAATATCTCTTAGAGAATTTATTTATAAATAATCTTTCCATGTTTTGCTGCAGTCTAACAAAATATAGCCAATCTTGCTGTTCAGATTACCAAAGAAATACTTGGGATACCTTTCTTGTTATAGAACGGTTTTACATCAGTGGTAATGTATTTTTAAGATGTCATTGGAAACTACTCAGATGCACTATTAACTGTCACGATGAGTAATTCTCCTTGATTCATAAATTTAAAGGGCCATTACACCTCCTGTATATTTAATCGAAAATCTCCCGGACTGGTATAAACTAATAATATAAAAGGCTTTGAAGGTCACGGTGTGGTCCACGTCCTGCTGTAGGTGGGATTCTGTCCAGCTCAGCTGCACAGACAGGCACAAGGAGTCACTGTGACTTCCTTCGGTTTAAAACAGCGCCTCACCCTCACATCGCTTTTCTGCCAGCCGGAACATTCAAGTGTTTGTGCCGTGGTTCCACCTCGTTATTCCTACTTCCACCCCGGGTGGCTTTGCCTTCGGGAAACGTACCAACAGGGACAACGCTCTCCTTTGAGAAGTTTAAGCTTTTCTTAAAGAAAAGTTTATTCTGTTGCAACAAATGTCCTTGAGCTAATGATGATCTCCCAGTTTCAAAACAAACAAATAAACGAACATAACGGAGGGGAGGGCTGCTGGATACAAGACAGCACAGCCCCCGGGATGCGCGGGGGAGGAGAGGGATGCTCCCAGAGCCGGTGCCCGCCGCTGCTCCGCGCTCCAGGGCGAGCGGGCGGGCGCTCGGCCAGGGCACATCCCCGCGTCCAGCCCCGGCTCCCGCGGTCGGGGCGGGGAGGCGCCTCCTCGAACACGTTAAAAGTTTGGGGCGGCCCCGGCGGCGGGGAGGAGGCAGAGCCCGGGCGGCGCGGGCGCTGCGCCCCGGCTGCCGCACCTGCTCCGCGGGCACCGCGCCCCCGGCACCGCCCCGCTCCGCGCCCCCGGCCCTGCTCCGCCGCCGGGAAGATGGCGAGCCCCGGCCTCCGCCTGCTGCTCCTCGGTTACTTGGGGGTCCTGAGCTGTAAGTGCCGCGTCCCCTCCCCGCGGGGCTGTCGCGTTCCGCTGCCTCCGGGAGCGCCCCGGCTCCCGCCCCGCACGGCGCTGGGCTGCGGGGGGACGCTCCCCCCGAGGTGTGGTTGTGTAGCCGTGTCTGTGTGTGTTCCCGCAACCCCGGGACGGGGGAGGGGGGATGTCGCTTCCCCTCCCTCGCCCCGGAGCCACAGGAGCCAACTCGCATCTCCAGCAGCGAAACGCGAGCGAACGCCGCAGCCGGGGCGGTGCGCGCTGATTATTTCCATGTGTCTCTTGTTTTCACACAGATGTAACCTGTTTAAGCCCGGCCTGTTTGAGCGCAAGCCAGCGGTTCTCTGCCGCCGTGCAAACTTTAGGATGCGGGCTGCGTAGTTTGCGTTTCTGATGGCCTTTACAAGGTGAATGAGCGAGGGACCGCGAGTGTGTTTTCTGTTGACGGCGCTGAATGCTGCTGTTCCAGGACAGAGTTCTGTGTCCAATATTTTTATGGTCCTATTGTCTTAACTCCTTAAAAACTGGAGGGGAATAGGGAATATTAAACTAAATTGGGAAAAGGTTCCCCACCCAGAAAGCGTATGGAAATAAGAGAAATACAGATCACGGGGCCAGATACCTGAGGAGAAGCAGTGAATTAACACAGTGTTACAGTGCCAGTCGTGTTAAGGCTGTCACTTTAAGATCACGTCTTACAGTACTCCTGTTCTATGCTTCTTGTGTCTTGCTGGTGTTTTAGGGAAAGAGGTACACGTGGAAACAGTGTTTTGAGAAGACTTACGTAGCACAGTTGTGCAATGAAATGATCAGTCTGGGGTGGGTTCTCAGTGCATTACGGATATGGCACATCCAAGGTGCTCATGCTGGGTATGTTTTGAGGTTTACCTTTCACTCCTCCTCACCTAACAGAAACTTAAGTGTGGAAACTCCTCTTTTTGCAGATGAGTCCTGTTTAGGAGAGGCTTCAAGTGATGTCTGTGTGATAGGTCTTTGGCTTCATAGTGGTTTCTCTTTTCCTCTCTCTTTGCTTCTGCAAGACCTTAGGGAAATGTTGGGCTGTTAGATGAACAGCTGGCACAGACTTTCTCTTTCATATGGTAAATAATAATAAATACTATTTTCTTTGTATTTTTTCCTTCATTTGTTCTTAATTGCATGGGAGCTGTGGGGGTTTTTTTGTTGACAGATTTTTGTTGTTCAGGCTGCTCAACTTTCTGGTTAGCTGTGTCTGTTAGCAGTGCTGGCTTTGACTAGTGAGGAAATGATAGAGTGTGGTTTGGAAGCGGTACAGTGCATTAAAGTCTGGTGCCTCCATTGTTCTAAGACTTACTTGTTTGGGGTTTTTTTCCTCTTCCTGTCCCAGTTCCCAAAAAAACACCAGGTGGGAAGCAGGTTTACCAGCAAGGTGCTGATAAGAAGTCTTTGCATGAAGAAAGTGACTGTAGGTGTGTGGCTGTGCAGATGCTGATTGTTTGTGAGCCAGAGGAAATCTAGGCAGAAATTCAGCGGCAGCCTGGAGCCTGCTGCTGCTGCTTCTGTGGCTGGAGCGCCTTCACACGAACAATAAGGCTGAGTAATTCTGGCATCCAAGTCAGGCATATGGGCTGAGCAGTCTCTTATGTGGGACCCACATGCTTTAGAGAGGGTGGGGAGTGGGCAGAAACTAGTGAGGGGAAAAAAAGGAGTGATTGATACCTGACAAGCAGGGTGGGTGGGGGTCGGTCTCTTCTCCCAGGCAACCAGTGACAGGACAAGAGGGCACAGCCTCAAGCTGCGCCAGGGGAGGTTCAGGTTGGACATCAGGAGGAATTTCTTCGCAGAAAGGATTGTAAAGCATTGGAATGGGCTGCCCAGGGAGGTGGTGGAGTCGCCATCTCTGGAAGTGTTCAAAGAACAACTAGACATGGCACTCAGTGCTCTGGTCCAGTTGATAAGGTCGTGATTGGTCAAGGGTTGGACCTGATGGTCTTTTCCAACCTAAATGATTATGTGATTATATGATTATATTGTGGGGCAGGTGTAGAGAACTTTCTTGGTAGCTGAGCTGCAGAAATTGAAAGCTGTATAAGTTGGTCACAGGACATTTTCAGTGAGAACCTACTAAGAAATATTCGTGACCTGCAGAACTAGTGCTTTCTCTGAGCTAAGCCTTGCTTTTCACCTTTAATTTAGGGGAAAGAAAAGGAGTTGGGAGTCTTTAATCATGTTATCTCTCAAGCTTCTGGAACTGATGGTATTGGGAAAATTTTAAATGGTGCCACAGAGCACTTGGGAGCTCTGTTGGCAGGACAGAAAATGTACTGAAATTATTGTTATTAACCATCATGGCTACTCTGGAGGAGATACGTGCTGATGAACTGGCTTTTCTGTCAAGCTTCTAAGTGTGATTTTTCTTGCATTAGTGTACAGTAAAATTAAAATTAAGTTGGGGATTCTGGAGGCTAATCCAGCAGATGTGTCTGTGTGAGGACAGTGCAGAGGCAAAAAATAGTATTCTTGCATAAATATTTGATGGCGCTCACCGGGTTAGTTGATTGAGCAATAAATAAGGTGATATTTTGTTTGTTTGTTTATTTTGGCTTAAAAAGCCCTATTCCTTATTCCTCAGGAATCTTTCAGTCAGATACAAAAGGCTTTTTTGTTCTAGAAACTCTGTATCTTTCTCCCCCATGCCCAACAAGCAATGACTGCATTAACTGTAGGCATTAATAGTGGAAGTCTATGCTGTCTTGACTATATGTGTTGTACAACTGATGTACTCAAATTTGAGAATACTGCCAACCCCCAGTCTTCAGCTGAACCCTCTTTGCTGGATTAGAATGAGTTATTCATTTCTAAATCAGACCATAATCAGGTGAGATGGGATTTCTTAAATTTGTAAGACTTCATACTTCTCTAGCAATACCTGTTCACTGTAATGCTGTAAAGCATTACCTGGTTTTGAGGGGGCAATGAGGGAAAGAGGCATCAAAGGAAAGTTCCTTCTCTTGCTGTTTTAGGTGAGAAGCAGTTTTTCTTTGCTATAGGCTGCTCACAGTCTATAAAACTGCACACTCTTAGACACCCTCAACATAAAATGTGAGAGGAGAGTAAGCTACCTAAATATAGACAAACAAATGAAAGCTAACTACAGAAAAGCAATATGTGTTTCTGTCTTCAGCCTAACAGTTTTCTTTAATGACTGTGGTGACACTGCACAAGACACCCAAATGCTTCTTGGGAGCTGATGGGAAGACTTTCTTGTCTTTGAAAGGGAGACATGTTTCCTTCTAGCTCATTTTATAACCTTCAAAATTTTGCCCTCTGGGTTAGATCCTCAGGGCTCAGAAGAAACTGGCTGTGATTTACTGGCATGTCTTCCAGAAATCATGGCCTTTGCTGCATTTCAGCAAGTCATGCTGTTTTCCTTAAACCTAGGCATGCTGCTTGGAAGTGGCTCTGAATTCCTGAGAGGACTCAGCCAGAAGCACTGCTGTTCTGTGGCAGGGGCTCTGTCTCTCTCCAGCGGAGAGAGCTGGTCACTGATGGCCCCATAGTATCCTTATTTTAGGTTCCTGGCCCCATAGTCTGCTACTGGATGTGCAAAAGAGAAAATAAGCGTGACTGTCTTCCCTCACTGCAAACAGGAGACAGGAAATATACCTGGAAATGTCGTGTCAAGACAATCACATTTTTTCGTTTCCCCTGTTTAGGGTGGATATATGCAACGGGAGGACTTGCTTTTGTTGTTGCTTGGCCTCTGAGAGCCCGTTTTCTCAGCTTTAAAGTTGCAACAATTCTTTGTTCGTGTTGTAGGATATCTGTTTCTGGGAACTGTGAATATCATAGGGCATCTGGCGTTAATAATGAGAGTTAAAACTACCACTGTGATTAGCAAATCTAATTGAGCCTGGATGAGGTCTTCCTATTGGTCATTTAACTGAATTACACAATGATGTTTTTGTGATTATTTCCTGTATTATACCTATAATTCCTACTGCAGCCTGTTTTGGTAGCTGCCAGGTTCTGCTGCAGAAACTGGCCGATGCCAGTGCAAATGATTAGGTAAGAAAGCAGAAGTAATTGAACTTTGACATCACATTTTCTGTTCAGCTGACTGATTTAACAAAACACCTGGGTTCAACTTTCATGACCTAGAGCTCCCAAACTTGTCCGCACCCACTGACTAACCCCAAATGTTATTTGGGGTATGTGCAGACCTGTTTTTAAAGAAGTGAGCTAAAAAAGTTACAGGAGGTGTTTACCCTTCCTCAAAGGCTGCCCCAGATGCTGCTGGTTGCTAGAGAGGAGTCCTCTTATGAAGTGTGGGAGAATCTTCTTGTACAATTCTTAATATCTTCTGATATCAAGAAAATACAGTTTCTTCATAAATTCACAAGTAAGGAATAGTGATAGTTCTTCACTGGAGATAGTGACATGCATGTGAACCTTCTGCGGTAAGCAAGCTTCCCTTGTTTGGGGGGGAGCAAATTTGGGTTGATGATGCTTTTGGAGGGTCAGGAACAACTTTTTAGTAATAAAAGTTTACATCTGGTATGATCTACTTAGAGCCCATCAACACTCAAAATGTCATCTTTCTGTTGGAGCAGTTCTGTTTACACAGTCTATACTGGCTTCCTGCACCTGGCAATCCCTTTTAGGAACACTTTTCCAAAAGTAAGGCTTAGTGTCTTACTTTCCCTTTGCAATGCTAGAGGTGACTCCAGTGCAAATGCTTATGTAAAGGAAAGTTACTAAGAAATGTGGACACAGCCAGAAACATCCACATCGCAATATAAATATCTTGTATATTAAAGCAATTGAAGCACAAGTTAGACATTTGTATTTGCCCTTGCAGACTGCTTGCCAGGGCCATATGGAATGGCTAAATTAAGGTTCCCTTGAAGTTATACAACAATATCAAGCAAAAAAAAAAAAGGCATAAAATAGTGTCTCTGTGGATGTATACAATGAGCTGTCTCATTGCTGTTTTTTCTTCTTTGGCTGGTTGGTGTT